TTACAGAAATTTCGATACATTTTTTTCATCATTTCGATGAATTTTTTTTTTCAGTGTGCAGATAATAACAAATAATTTTTTATTCTTGAGTTCCTTTAATACTTTCAATCTATTTACACCCTCATATCTGTATTTTAGAATATTCTTGCATCACTTTTAAAACTTGTTACTTTAAAGTGTATCGAAATATTGGGTACTCAAAGTTTTCGTTCAACTCTTAGCAGTAATTTTAAAAAATGTGAATTAAAAAAATTAAATTAAAAATCTAAAAATAGCTAAATAAAAGCAAAAATTAATCCTATTCTTACATTCTTTAATTGTTTGTTCTGCTGCTCATCTAAAAAAAAAAAAAACTCGGTTACACCCAAGACAACTTGACCTCCTTTAAATTGTGCCAGAAAGATCACACAAGAACTTCAATTTCTCTCATGTGGTACTTATGCTTTTAGGTTCCTTCGCACTAAATGCTTTGCTACACAACTTTCTCACTTCATTCAAGAATTATGAAATATTTTTCAGTTCGTATTTCTATAGTAATTTATTCTATACCGTGTTTGTACTATAAAAATATTCTAATTTCATAATTCTAAAAAAAAATAATTTTCTTTTTTGTCATATCAGTTAAGAGCTATTTGCTTTCTGGAGTTAGTAGCGGTTTTACTTCGAAAGTAAATATATAAAAAGAAAGTAAATAAAGTTCGAAATAGTTTACTTCGAAATGAAAATTAAATAGAACTGCCATAAACGTTGAAAATGAGTATTAGGAAAGCATATTTCTTTATTAAGGAATTTAGTTATTTTATTTTAATTTGAAAAGAGCAATAGCAAATACTGAGGCAATGTTTTATAAATGCTTGTTGTTTTCATAATTTGTTTATTGTATTTTTATTAGAAGTATTACATTGGCATTTTACTTAACGCAAATAATAATTTCATAAACGCAACCGAAAGATTAAATAAATTATGAATATCAGAATGGATCTAAATATATTCAGCTTAAGAAACCATTGCTAATGATAAAAAGTACCAACTTGTGGAAGAATTTTAACTCTTTCGCGGAAGTCTAGGGTTCCCCGGAACACCGTTTGGGAACCCCTGCCTGAGGGCATCAATGCTGTGAAGCCATGGAATCGATACGTGAAGTATAAATGGCTATGCATCTCACATCGCTTTGCGCATACCTTAAACTTAGGCAGAATTTGAGCAGAGATATAAGTCAGGGAAAGAGAAAAAAGTCAAGGAAATTTTAACCAAAAAATAAGATCTTGATTTATATTTTAAAATAATATTACACAAAATGGAGGAAAATGATAAAAGATTCCTTAATTATTTATTTGTTGAACAACAGAAATATATTTAAATACCGATCGATACATAAAAATAACTATAAAAAAGAAGGAATTACATTTAAAAGCAAAAGAATGAGACTCACAATTTTTACCGATATTTAAAAATATCTATAACAATAAAAATTAATATATTTGATCATATTAAGTTTTCAAAGCAAATAAATAAATGAAACAATAAAAAGTTGTAAATAAAAGAGGGTGGGAAAATAAATTTTAAAAGCTAAAGAATGAAAAAACAAAAATTCATTTAACTGCAGATATTAATATATCTGATTAAAACACAAAACTTATAATAAGTAAAGAAGCTAAACAACATGCTGCGCATGCAATAAAAGAAGAAAAAAAAATATTAAAGGAGTTGAATCTTTTTCATCTTGAACTAAGACGCTTCATAAAGTTAATGAAGAAAGAAAACAAAATAATTCAGTCGTGGGAGAAAAGAACTTTCGATATAAACAGGTTACTTCTCAAATTAAAATTATACTTTTTACTTACAGTAAAAAAATTTAAAAATATTGTGTATTAAATAATTTTTTCGCGATTCTTGCTAAAAGTTGAAATAAATATCTGTGCTTAATTTTTTTATAAATTTTATCTAATAAATGCAATTGATTCTTAGATGTCATACGAGGGTTGCTATTTATATTTCTGGCCTTGGCAACAGTAAGTGTTGCTAGAAGTTTGATATTTTTAAACATAAATTCAGCAGACGATTTACCATTATAGCTTCTTTGTGTTGTTGACAGTAAATTGAAAAGTTCTTCTCTTTCAAAAAATGGAATTGAATCGTGAACATTTTCGTGCCATTATTTTTCATAACTTTCGACGTGGATTGTCAAGACAAGAGTGCTTCGATGAACTTAATTCTTTATTCAGCGATAAAGCGCCATCCTACAGCACTGTAAAAAATTGGTATAACGAATTTAATCGTGGTCGATGTTCGATCCAGGACGAATCCCGTGCAGGTCGTCCAAAATCCGTTGTTGTGCCAGAAAAGATCGATGCTGTGCGTGAACTGATAAAGCAAGATCGTCATGTGACA